GATTTGCCATCCTTGCCTAGTACCCTATTGCTAATACAGACATTGGTTACGCTACGATTCCAAAACTTACGAGCAATACATCGAATACACCTATGATCGATTAATAATCACTTACGAATATCCTCTTTTCTTAGTGTTTAAGTTTCATATCCAACAAGAAGGGCGGAGCGAAATGTTAGAAGTAAATTGATTGTTATGACATCTAGTTGTGATATTGTCTAATCAGAAATCTTTTGAAAATCAATATGAGATAAGATTTATTTACTGTCACCTCAACTAAACTTTTCCTATTACTGTTTTTGTACCGAATATGGAACTCGATACTCTAATCAAATCAAACTGATTCAAGTCAAATAGGGAGACAAAGTTTGAATAATGATCCTATCTGTTTGTTATTGTTATCATCACAATCATCATCCTGATCATGATCATGATCATTGTCTAGTCAGTCTGTTGATTCATTGACTGATCACGTGTGTATGTGTTAAGCAATTCATTGAATCAAAGATAATTTATTCATGAAATATGAATAGACAATTGTCGATGAATTGACTTAGACTAATCGAAACGAATGAATGTTATATGGATGTATGTAAATTTATATAAATGAGACAAATATTCAGCCACCAGTCTCATTCATTCACCCATCCTTCCATCCATCCGTCCGTCTATTCATCATCTTGTTGGCTAAACAAAATGTATTAAGACATTTATTGATAATGATCATTCATTCATTCAGATGTGATAACAGTGAATATGGGAATATGTGAGGAGTTATTTGTCTGTTGAATGAAAACATACGGACATGGACATATACACTATGGTTGTCTATCGTTTGATAGTTTTGAAAAAGGTATTCTATACCTTTAGGCAAATGGCATTTGAATTATGCATTTTGAATATACAAACATGTTGTACAATATGAAGTGTACGTGTATAGTTGATGTTGAGTTGCGATTGACTACAGTCAACACTACGGGAAGATGACGTGCAAAGATATTGTGTTGGATCCCTCTGTAAGCTAAAAACCAGAAGGCAGTTGACAGTTGCAATAAGATGTATATGTTGACGATCTTGTGGTATCGAAAGAAAACCGAGATCGTACCAAAGTTTACAAGCTGAACTACCGAGCGTATGCGAGTTCATGCAAGTTCACAGACAACGGAAGAATGCGTGTATAATCGGTTATAATAATAATAATAATTGTTTCTATTGTACCAATCGCGTTCTCGTCATCAAAGTAAGTCATTACACGTGGATTGACCAATAATACAGAAATGAATGATGAATTATTCCATTTGAACAGTCAATTGACTCTTGCATACCAATCATAACAAACTGTTTTGCATGAATTCACATATTGCACATTTCTATTCATTACTTACTTATTAATCAGTAAACAATTTATTGATCATTGAGCATTTCGAACTTCAAAACTGCTTGTGCTGTTGTGTTTAGACGTCAAGTGTTATCGTACTGGATACTGAATGTACGCTTCTTCAACAACATCACTGGTACATGAAGGCTATTTCATCTACTGTCCTTATAACCATAGTACTTAGTAAACATTTCGTCACCAACCTGATTGTAATGCATTTGTTACTGTATACCTGTACAATGTGTGCATGAGTGAAGTTCAACCCTGCCTAATCTGTTGTATTTTACCGATGAAAGACATACACTGAATCAATATTTTCTACAAAACACTTAGTCCTCTCAATCGAATGTATACTGTGAACAAGTTCAGGAACACGTAATTATAGTGTTTGTTAATTACACTCGATGGGACTTGGTTACACTAAATCATGGATAAAGGAAGTTGGTGTTGTGTTATTTTAAGTTCAATGAAATACTTGATGTTATTCATTATTTTTAAAGTTACAGGTTTGTTTATGGACAGTAACTTTGACTTTATGAGTATACTAGAGTCGGATAAGTTACATTTGTTGGGTTAAAATGTTATGTATTTCCTTAGATTTGTTCTTCTTACATATTGAACGATGAACTGATGGGACTGTTGACACTAACCGCTGATGGAATACCTGTGAAGACAAAATTACTGAGACTGTGAGTGATGATGATGTTTGAGTATTTGGGATAGAGAGTGAGAGAGAACCATTTTCTTGTATAACACATATATGAATCATTACTGATTGTCAATGTATAGGAAAACTAGGTCAAGTAATATCACCTGATCTTTGACTTCAGTTATTCATAGTGATGTCAAGTTATTCAGCTCAACAGATATAATGCGCGTTAGGCAGTTTTAAATCTATCATCACTAAACAATCGACAGAATAATGTCAACCTGTCTACTCTAATATGGCGGCCTGTTTAAACATCTGGGCTACCTGTTCCTGTCATCTAGATATTTCAACAAGTTATCTAATTTTGTTTGTTTTAATACATCATTATGCCTATTATTCGCACAACCTGTTCAGGCGCGTTTCTGAAAAGTGTAAGACTTTTCGCTGTAAAGGTTATAGAAGACCTAATTAGAGATATCGTGTTTGCTGGCAATATGCAGCGAGAAGAATGTACATTATCCAGATGTCGATTGACTGGGCTGCTAACTTCTAACCGGCGATCACTCAATATTTATCGTCGGGAAGGACGAAGAAATAAGAAATGGAAACTTGTTGAAGTGCTTTATGCTGAGAATTCCATATTGTATCAAAAATATAATATTGAATAAAGCTAATAATAATAAATAAATAATAATAATAACCAGTTCTTATGATATAATCAATTTTTTCTTCTGTCTGATTACGCCACTTTATATTCCGTAGTATTTGTATACTGTTATCATACATATTGGAACCAATGGTTCACGTATAGTTGACCATCTTTTCTATAGACAGGAGAGTTTAGAAAGACTATTTAGAAGGAGACTAATTGCCATACCTTTTGCTCAGAGTCTAGCATAGCCACTTGAACACCTTTTAAAAGTCCACATGGTACGACTTAGCTCTTTCAACACTAAATAATGCTTACTGTTTAGTAATAAAAGGGATCTGTGGAAAACTGTATGGTTGTTAACTTACTTATTATCCCATCAAAGTGATTCTTATTTTATTACCTTACTAATTCCCGGAGTTCTAGTGAGAAGCTGTGACCAGTGGAGTTCAAACCATATCTGTTGTGAGATAGGAACTCACTGAAGACAATTGGTGAACGGTTGCTCAACTTTGTGGATTGGTTGAAGTTAGTCATTAACACCATCGGATGACGGCCAGTTTAGTGGTCTGTCGGTTAAGTGCTCTGGTGCAAGACTGGTAGGTCCTGGTTTCGAATCTCACAAGGCGAGGTCGTGGATGTGCACTGCTGAAGAGTCTCATAGCTGGATGGAACGGCCATCTAGTATTTCCAGGTTTTCCTTGATGGTCTAGCTTCAATTGAATCATCCTTTCAACTATGAAAATAATTTATTTTCGTAAATACTTTCAATTTTTTTTATAAGAAGAAGATATTCAGATCATTCTTTGAGAGAAAGTCGTTTAAATGTCAGATTATCTAGTTTTGACTTTAGGGTAGTTTTTTTAAGCTTTAGTATTGTAAAAGGACAATGATTAGTCCTTTGGAATGAGATTATTAGTAGTATATTGATCCTCTGAAATGTTGTTATCAAGACAATACACTGGGCCATATCATACAGTCAAAAAAATCCCACAGCAGAATTTGTGATAGAGATTATTTGTGGGCGAAGCTTTTGAAAGCTTTATAACTAACTCTTGATTTCAGCTGTATATAAAATTATTAAATCTCCACTAAACTCCCCTTCTAATACTATATTTTCATTTTATAATTACTGTTTACTGTTTGAATTCACTTAGTATTGTTTGTTTGAATCTTACGATTGATGTTTAGGACTGCAACTGGTCAGTCTCTAATTGGCATATGTGCATACTGTGCGTATTGCCTCGATATACCTTAATTCACAAGCATGGTTAGCAGAGATGGATAGTGGCTAGCAGTGGAATCCAGGACGCGCGTTTCGTCCTATTTGGGGCTCGTCAGTTGGATGTACCTGCATTTCAGACTTGTTGATGTTCACTCTGGGACTCGAACCCAGTATCCTCGCACCCATCACACAAGCAAGTGGCTATCAGGACTCAGTGGCCGAGTGGATAACGCGATGGCGTTTGAAGCGAGGGTACTGGGTTTGAGTCCCAGAGTGAACATCAACAAATCTGAGATGCAGTTACATCCAGCTGACAAGTCCCAAATAGAATGAAACGCTCGTTCAACTGGACTCCACTGCTAGCCACTATCCATCTCTGCTAAGTATCCATCTTCGTTTAAATGTTTTCTGATTGGCTAATATTTCTCAAGGTCACATGAGATTCATTCAAAGATTACCTATACATTAATAGAAAGTCACGACGATCAACCAATTTTTCTAGGAAACATAATAATTTGCATAATTTCCACAGAAGTATAAGATCAAGATGAAAAAATATACCCCCGAAATATACATTCATCTTAAATCATTTCAATTATTTACATGAATCAGTATTGTTGTCATGTGGATGATAATGGTATTCCATAATAACATGTAGATTTAACAATAAGAAGTTGAATAAAAAGAGCGGGGGGGGGCAGGGGTTGAAGAATTCAACAGTTGTTCATTTGATGATAGGGTTACTTATTTGAAGTGAACAGAATCCGTGATAAACTATGGTTTCATATCATTTAAATATGTATAAACAATATGTAAATGAAGCTTGAAAAGGTAAAATAACATAGACGACTGATATTCTATTGTTTCATGTACAATAAAGATTGTCACTTTTCATTTTGTATCATTGATTCAGATTGTTTCGTTGTTGTTGTTATTCGAGTAGATATTGTTATGTTTTAATATCATTAATGATAGTAGTATTATTGTGGTGTGGGTTGCTTATATCCATATAAGTAGTATATGATGATGGTGAGGCAGAGAATGTATTTCAGTAGAAGATCGATAAGGAGGGAACGGGACGTAATTGGTATGAAAATGCATGAAAAATGAAATCGGAGACGATGGAGTGATTAAAAAATTAGTGCGTAAGGGGAATTCATCATCATCATCATCATCATCATCATCATCATCATCATCATCATCATCATCATCATCATCATCATCATCATCATCATCATCATCATCATCATCATCATCATCATCATCATCATCATCATCATCATCATCATCATCATCATCATCATCATCATCATCATCATCATCATCATCATCATCATCATCATCATCATCATCATCATCATCATCATCATCATCATCATCATCATCATCATCATCATCATCATCATCATCATCATCATCATCATCATCATCATCATCATCATCATCATCATCATCATCATCATCATCATCATCATCATCATCATCATCATCATCATCATCATCATCATCATCATCATCATCATCATCATCATCATCATCATCATCATCATCATCATCATCATCATCATCATCATCATCATCATCATCATCATCATCATCATCATCATCATCATCATCATCATCATCATCATCATCATCATCATCATCATCATCATCATCATCATCATCATCATCATCATCATCATCATCATCATCATCATCATCATCATCATCATCATCATCATCATCATCATCATCATCATCATCATCATCATCATCATCATCATCATCATCATCATTATCATCGTCATCATCATCATGTGTTGTCAGTCTGTATGAATTGCATTTATCTTAATGTTAATGCATAATATTATATCCGTATACTGTGAAAGTTGCTTTCGATGAAGGTGCTTATATTACTGAAATTATCTTTTAAAGTGTGGTCCCATTGGGTTCTGCAGGTACGAAATTTAAGAAGTCAATTTTAGAAATATCTTAGCTTCGTGATGCCTACAACCATTGTAGAAAATGTTAGATAAAATGAACAAGTTGAAAACAGATCTGATAGATGTGATTTATTTAAAAACGACAGTGGCATTTTAGTCGTTTAGTAAACTTATTTACTTACATCTTTAACCTCTCGTGGAGGAGCATTGGCAACACACCAGTATTCTCCATCCAACCCTGTCCCAAACAATCCTTTCCAGTTATTTGTAGTTCACATTTGTCCTTTTCATATCTGTTTCTATTTCCCGACGTAATGTGTTCTTTGACCTTCCTCATTCCCACTTCCCTTCACCATACGAAGTTAGCGTTTGCTTCGTGATGCAGTTTAGGGATTTCCTTAATGTATGTTCAATCCACTTCCAGCGCCTTTTCCTAATTTCCTCTTCAGATGGAAGCTGATTTGTCATCTCCCACAGTGGGCCGTTGCTGATAGTATAAGGCCAGTGAATGTTGAGTATTTTGCGAAGACAACTGTTTATAAATACTTGTAACTTCTTGACGATGGATGTAGTAGTTTTCCACGTTTCAGCTCCGTACAGTAGGACTATCTTGACGTTCGTATTGAAGATTTCCACTTTGACGTTAGTTGACAGTTGTTTTGAGTTGCATATGTTCTTCAATTGTAGGAATGTAATCCTTGCTTTGCTAATCCTCACCTTTATATTTACATCAGATCCTCCTTATTCATCAATGATGTTTCCCATATACGTGAATGTTTCCACCTCTTCCAGAGTTTTTCCATGAAGTGTGATTGGCTTGGGGTTCTCTGTGTTGTATTTGAGGATCTTGCTTTTTCCTTTATGTATTTTGAGGCCTATTGATGCAGAGGCTGCTGCTACATTAGGTGTCTTCGTCTGTATTTTTTCGCGTGTAAGAGATAGGAGGGCTAGGTCATCTGCGAAGTCCATATCCTCTAATTAATTTTGAGTTGTCCATTGTATTCCGTGCAGTAAACTTATTAGTTTTTCTCTCTTTTTTTACTTACCATTTAATCCTATCAAATCCTATAATTTTTGTGTTCTTTGAATCCTATTCGGTTGGTGTATCAAAAAAATTCCAAAGAAAAAGAACAAACTCTTTTGTCTTGTTTTCAACTGTACTTCTTCATCAACATCCAATTCATAATTGTTAATGAAAGACTTCAGAAATGAGCTTTAACTGCTGTCATAAACAAAAAAAAAGTGTTTACAATAATCAATAAAATTATGCTCACTGAAAGATCAAAACCTATTTCAGTCTGAATAGTTTGAATAACTTGTTGATGTTGTCGTGTTCCAAGTTTTAATGAACAAATTTATTTGGTATTCACTTGATGTTATTTACTTGTATCTTCCCATAGTTATTTAGGACTGTAGATGATCAGTCTCTTGTTGGCATATGTGCATACTGTGTGGATTGCCTCAATATAGCCTTAATTCACAAGCATTATAAGCAAAGATGAATAGTGGATAGCAGTGGAATCCAAGACGCGCGTTACGTCCTATTTGGGACTCGTTCGCTGGATGCACCTGCATTTCAGACTTGTTGATGTTCACTCTGGGACTCGAACCCAGTACCTTTTACTTCAAACTTTATCACGTTATCCACTTAGCTACTGAGTCCTGATAGCCACTAGCTTGTGCAATGGGGTGATGTTTAAATTCACTAAGCGGATAACGTGATGGCGTTTGAAGCGAAAGGTATTGGGTTCGAGTCCCAGAGTGAACATCAACTCAGATGCAGGTACATCCAGCTGACGAGTCCCAAATAGGGTGAGATGCGCGTCCAATTGGATTCCACTGCTATCCGCTATCAATCCTTGCTTATAAAGATTTATTTTGTGTTTTGTTTTATAAACATACAAACAATCCGTACAAACCAATGAATTTCACAACATATTGGTAACTCCTGAAAAATATAACGCGGGTGATAAGAATATAAACCATAAGGTAATATGCAGTTATTTAATATATCTTCTCCAAATTACGAAACTTCAATAAACTCAAAAACAAAGATTTTCAAATTGGATTACTAGATTCTTGTCAACGTCTCATTTGAGAGCTCTTTAAAGTAGTGTTTAGTGTCTCTATATCTGACTCCAGGTCGATCGTATGAATGACTGTTATTGAAACATACATGTCGTCTATCCTTATGTATTATTGTCGACTTAAATAGAGTTAGTTAATGACGGAACTAAATATGAGAATAGATTTCGAATACATATATTTTTTACACTATCTGATCTGGATGGACAATCAGATGGACGAAGCAAAGGAAGCGAAGAGAGAGAATCGAAATGACATACAATGGAGATCGCGAGTGAGCCAACTCAATTTAATCAAGAATTAATCAATATTTATAGTCACACAAAAATAAGCTACAGACATGTGATGAGTAGGATAAGATATACACATATATTTGGTCACATCCCAGGACAGGGTTGGATGGAGAATGCTGGTGGGCGGCCTATGCTCCTCAACGAGGGGTAACAGGCGTAAGTAAGTAAGTAAGTAAGTATTTGGTCATATAAAAACAGTCAAGGTTGATAAGTGAATAACTGATAAGGTTAAAATGTGACTCAAGTAGAATGAATAAATTGTCTTATCAAGAAACTAGAATAAGTTATATGAGCTTAACATAGTAACCGAGACTACAAGTGTTCCTTTCATCAACAAGACGCGTTAAGAGTTTGTCATTCTGTTTAAAAAAAACTTATTATTTTAAGAGTTATAGTGTAACAGGGAGCATGAAGACAAAAAAAACATGCGATTTGATTGTAGTTACTGAATTGCTTAAATCTGTTTTAGACTCCTCATTCCTTCTCAGTTTACTACGTTGTTTGTTACATGACACTGCTCACTGATGTTCAGTAGCTTATGTATGTTAAACCATTTTCAAAACTTTCTGAATGTAACTTATGTATCAATGATCCACTGATTTCATCTATTTGTTCTCCTACATCTCGCCCGTTCATTTTCCGCTTGTGTGAATACTACTTCCACATATAATTGTTTAGGCTCTATTCTATGTGGTACTTCTTGAATCGTATTTTATTTCGTTAATGATACCATCTATTTCTGAATAACATCACCTAATTAATCAATATTAATTTCTGGTACCGGTTTGACATCTGTGTGGAGTTTTTTGATCTATAGAACATGATGTCAATTGATTCTACCTAACTTATTCGAAGGATCTACAGATAAAATATGAAGTCCGTTGACATTTTCTGTCTTTATTATCTTCTTATTTCATTCTATCTTGTGTATTAATCTATACAACTCATTGGCATTCATTAGCTAATCTAGTTGCTAAAAACTTTTCAGTGAATAGTGTAACTTAATTTCTATAGTCGTATATCTATAGTCCTGGGTTTGAATCTCGCGAGGTGGGATCGTGGTTGCGCACTGCTGAGGAGTCCCACAATAAGATGAAACGGCCGTCCAGTACTTCCAGGTTTTCCATGGTAGTCTAGCATCAATTAACTCATGATTTCAAATATATACTTAACTGTTTATAAAAACTGATCTTATTTAATTGATATCTCATTCTCATTATTCTCTTAATACTCAGAACAGTTATTTCTAATGTTTGTGAACTCGTTGTACGTCTGTTCTGCCATTGTGTTTCTACATAGCAGTTAGCTGTGGTTATTAATAACCCTAGGTACCCATTTTAGTAAGAAAAACTCTTCTCAGATTGTAAACGGAATTAGTAGATACTGTAGATGCTTCTAGATTTCATGTTTATAATTCATTTCACACAATTTCATAATAATAGTACCTGTTTTACATTCTCTAACCATATTCACTTCACGTCAACTCTTTTTCGTATTATTTTATACTACTGATTATTAATCAGTAAAGAGTTGCAGCCTGCGCATTTTCCGCCCTTCAATGTTCCAACATCAAGTTGTCGAGTGATATTCTGAAATGAGAAGTAAAAGCCATAGTTGACCTAAGAAGCGGTAAGGTGGTCACGAAGTACGGCTCATTCTCAATACATGAAAGTAGCGAGGTGACTGAGGTTAGAGTGGCAACAGCCGTTGTGACGAAGAAACCAAACATCACCGAGTTGTGCAAAAAGTATGCGAAACTGTTCACTGGAGAAGGAAAACCGTACGGATTTTGCGACAAAGTAAAGCACGAAATCCCGACAAAGAACAATGGAGGAAGTATATTCACAACACGTCGTGTCCCTGTGCACTTAGAGGCTGAAGTAAATCGACAGGTCCAAGAGATGCTGAAAGAAGGGATAATTGAGGAGGCGGACAGCCCGTATAGCTCACCAGTACTCTTGGTAAAGAAACCGAATGGGAAATATAGATTTTGTGTTGATTTTAGAGAACTGAATAATATAACAGAACTAAAGCCGTGTGCAATGCCAACAGTAGTGGAAACATTAGATCGGCTGCAGAATGCCACGGTGTTTACAGTGTTGGATTTGCGGTCAGGTTATTGGCAGCTGCCTATAAAAGAGAGCGATCGAAGCAAGACAGCATTTACCATACGTGATAAGCAATATCAATTTAGACGAATGCCGTTTGGATTGGCGGGTGCACCATTTACGTTCAGAAGATTAATGTTGCTATTGCTCTAGATAACGTCGAAGTGTATGGTGACGATGTAGTCGTATACAGCCAGACAGGAACAGATCATGTCAAGCATGTGGAAGCGGTCCTAAAGCGAATTGAAGAATTCGGACTTCGAATTAATAAGGACAAGTCACAGATGGCGAAAAGTAGCATCACGTTGTTGGGGCATAAAGTGGGAAATGGAGAAATAAAACCACTGCCGGAGAAAATTCTGACTATAAAGAACGTTGCAGTACCGAATTCGAAAAGGAAATTGAGACAGCTCCTGGGAAGGG